CAGGGTGGGGTGCATGGGAAGGGTTACACCACATCGGCTGGGGATTTGACAGCTCTGGGAAGGGTCCTTCTGCGTGTTAGTTGGCTGAGGGAAGAGCAATCCCAGAAGTGCCACTTTTGGCAGGGAGCAGGGATCCAGGGGAAGCTGCACAGCTGGCGGAGCGGAGCCTGCACACAGCATTCTGCGTTTTGAGGTTGCTGGCTGGGACTGTGTCCTCATGGCCGGGCTGCACGCACTCCACAGCCCAGCCCCTATCGGCACAGCTGGGATGTGATGCCTGGGAACGAAGGGATGTAGCTTCTCAGGGGTTCATACGCTCCTTGGCAGAAAGGCTTCACATTCTCAGAAGGAATTTAAGCAGCATCAGAAAATCAGGGGTTGACTTTCTCTGCTATGACACAAACACCTTTTCTCTGATTCCCACACCAGTTTATTCACTCTCTCGCCACCAACAACATTGCTGTGTGACTGTTCCCAAATACTAACAGTTCTAGGACACCTGTGTGTGCAGTAGCTCTTCTCCCTGTCATTTTTTACTAGGAAACAGTCTGCCCACCTGCTTCATGAAATAATTAAATGGACGTGATGCAGCTTCTTCTCCAGCTGCACATGGTTAACTTGCATCCCAAAAGCAAGCATCGTGCCTAATGTACTTTGACAGCGGCATCGTGGTATAAAAGTGGGTCAGTCCAGTGCTGAGACCCTGAAGCTTCCTTCACTTTAAAGCACTTGTGCTTTACGCTCTTACTGAGTTACAGACTTGAAATTGTGGGTATGGCATGGAGCCACCAAGCATGAAGCACCTTCCTTTTCTATGAGGTTTACAGACGCCATAGCTGGATTTTTGGGATGGAGCAAGGGCAGATTCTAACTCCTTGGGCTCTGTTAGTGAGATGCGGTCAGCTCAGGAGAACAGCCATCGTGTGGGTATTTCCTTCTCTTCGTCTCAGTGTAGCATTAATATCTCCTGTGTTATCCTTAAACACAACTCACTGAGTCTGCTCCCAGCATCAACCGAACAATAGAGCCCTTTTGGTTTGATCCATTCACAGCCTTGCTGGTGTATTAATGTCACAAATTTGAATGGTCAGCTTCAGAGTGTATTCCAAATCTGCAGCAACAAGGTTATACATGCAAGCTGTTAACAGAGCTCCCCAGGACCCTGTCTGTCCTCACGACAAAATCCTGTGCTATCCAAAAAGCAGAACAAGGCACTTGCACTGCGGGACCTTTGCGAGCTCTCCTTTTCCTTTGACAAAGGGGTCTCTAACCTCACCCTTCTACATATTCGTTGTACATCTCTGATCTGAAATGAGCCAAAAGGCACTCACGCAACAGCACATACCTTTTCACTAAGTGGTGCCTCCTCTGCAAGCCTGTGGCGATCCCATTTCTTAGCGTACGTGATGCATCAGGACCGACCACTGTGAGCACAGACTCACAGCTCATCCAACTCAATGTTGTTGCAAGAGGCAATGGTAACACCCAACCCTTTGCTGCTCTTTTGGCTACGCAATGCACAGGGACTGGAACCTGAAAGACGCCCTTCATGGATCCCACCTTTGTGCAGTGTCACGTAAGCCAAGCACAGGAGACCATTAATCAGTGCCTGGAGAAAGAAGTTGCCATCAGCACACAAAAAGACAAGAGGAAGAGGCCTCTTACCATGTGATAGTTAATCATCTCCTGCAGGCTGTCTCCAAATTTGTCGAGGCACTCCTGCAAAAAAAGGTAGAGAGAACTGGTAGTGAATAGAAGCAGCTGCCCTTCACTCCCGCAGGTTCAACGGCCGAGAGTCCCTCATTAAGCCCCTGAAGAGCCACTCTGCCATTTGGCAAGAAGGCGTTTCAAAAATGTCTGACACTGAAGTCAGGCTCCCTGTCCTTTGCAGTTTAGTGCTGAAACCAGCATGTCAGTTGTCGCTTGTGTAGGCTGGTTACCCACGCTTCCGAAATAACTGATGCTTGCTGACCTAGATTCCAACAACCTTGCCAGCACCGTAGCTTCTTAAAAGTTCAGCTCTCCCTGCAGACAAGGAATCTCACTCTGACCTTTCAGCACTGCGTTATCAGGTGGTCTCTACATTCCTCCAAAAATAAAATCTCATACTAAATGGCTACTTAAACAGTATAAGGGTCTTGGACATATGGTCCATTCACAGCATCAGGAAGTTTAACAGTCCTCAGCTCTCACTGTGTCCAATCCTCTGTCCCACAGGATGACTTACCGAAATCATTTCATCCTTCTTGCACTGCTGCGACAAGTCCCGGACCCCGCTGACAAAGTGCTTGTTGGTGGTGATGTAGGCTTTGCCTGCTTCAATCATCCCACTGCATAGCTTCACCAGCTGCACAAGGAGAGAGGTGTGAGCGGACAGGGAGCTGATCACATCAAACCAAACTGCAACCAGGTTGGTTTTAATCTGCACCAGCAACACAGCCCAAGACCCTGACGACGGGATGCCGTTCCCATTCCTGGTGTGCCTACATGAGCAACCCTTACTGCACGTGGCAGAAACAGGGATGCAAATCACACTTCTTAGCATATGTCTTCTTGTCAGCATTTCACTGGTCACTTAAGAGTTCCAGGCTATCGCACAGGGACAGGTGAATCGGGGCAGCCCATTTTTTCCAGTGGGTTTCTACTGTTCATTCTATCCTGAAGCATCAGGACTGCAACAAAAGGAAGCTGATCACACAAATTGAGTGGGGAGAGGTTGAGACTCCTTGGTGCTGGGTGGAAGTGATAAGCTGTCTAGGATCTCCCTGCTGGGAGTACGCGGCTTTTGGGGTCTGGGGAGTTTCTGAGCCCAGCTGGCTGCTCTGTATTCCTGTGGAGACTCAGATTGCTCTTACCATGGAAAAAAGAGGAGTCAGCATTCAGCAGCCTGATGGTTTTGTATCCTGTTTTCCTTAAACCAACTGACCAGGACTGCTTAAGCTATGCCTGCTGTGTGCAGCCAGTGAAAATCTATGTGAACGCAGGTTAAACCATCAAGATTGTAGATAACTATGAATCAATTCCCACAATTCTGCAGCCCAAGGAAACTTCACTGGTGAGTGATTACAGCATTTCTCTCTGGATTGCTGGTGACTTAGTACAGTCTTTCTGATGGACCTGGACGGAGCTTTATTCAGGGCAACATTGACAACTTTAAGCAAGCGAAACAAGCTCCGATTCTCATCACCAGCCTTGTTATAGTGAAATTATGAGTGAAGTTACCTGGAACTTGCAGCAAAACGGGGTGGCTTCCTCACTTTGGAATTGGTTTGCTGCAGCACAGGCACACATCTCCAGACACCCTTTATTAACTTTTGATAATGTAACAGCTGCAGGGAACATTCCCAGACTTCCCAGCCACAGCAAACTGCCTTAGCATTCCTGGGACTGGCTGTAAAGACTGGAGCATCCTCATAGCCAGAATTCCTGGCCATTAGCCTATCTCCTTTCAGCTCCTTGTAAAAGGTTGAGTTAAACAACTTTAGAGAAGTCCACAAACAGAAGCCTAAGTGATTTGCAAAAGTAATGGCTAGCCACTGAGCACAATTTTTAATTCTTTTGTTTGGTTGGCTTTTAAAATCATCACTGCTCTATGCTTTTTAACTAAGTGAAAAACTTTAGCAGCTGATAATGAACAGCACTTGGAACTGAAGTTTTCCATTCTCAAAATCCAGGAGCTTTCTACAGGATATTAATCTTACTAACGAAAAATGGCCTTAGAAGTCTACCCCTGTCAACCAGCCTTACCCATGGGCTGGGAATGCATAGCTCCCAAGTCTGGTTTGATGTCAAAGTCCCACTGAAGCATGCTGTGCTGTTTTTGGGCTTGGTGCCTGTTCTATTTATGCAGCCACGAGGCTTTGGGGTCTAATCCATATGCATGCATTGCAGAACAAGCTTGCTTGCCTCTGTCTGCAGTTCTGTAAAAATATATCTGAGTATATCTGAATGTGTGTGTGTGTATATATATATATATATATATATATAGTCACACGTGGCATATCTGTATATACATAGTATATACAGTCTTCAGTCTTTCACGTCCACATCCTCTTCTGGCCATGCAATTTGACAGAACAGCACTGGATGCTAGCAGCCTTGTGCTATCCCATCCAAGCCCAGAGAAGAAAAGCAAACAGATGCAGTTCCTGTCACATCTGGAGCCCAGACGTACACCAGGGGTTTGGACAGATCCTCTGGAAAGGAAATCCAGCCTATTCTGCAACGTGGCGGTTTCTAGCATACCTCTGTGCGGACGCTTGCGGCCAAGGCTGTGTTCCTAGGAACCGAAGGCCATTCAGCACAAGCATACTCCCAAGGGGAGCAGTGATGACTTTGCAGATGGACCACAGGACAGAAATCAAGGAAATCTCTTTGAAACAGCAATCAAGCCCAGATCTTTGGTGTTCCATTGGATGAATCACATATACTGCCTTTTACCTCCATTTTAAATCAGCGTTAAAAGGCGAATCATTTATAAACTAAGTGCTCAGGGGCACAGCAAAAGGCAGGGAAACAAAATCAGTCCTTGCCAGCTTGCAAGGCTCTTTAAGAACAAGTCATGCCAGCTATTTGGGTACCACTGAACAGCTTTTACACCAAGGCCTAGGAAGGCTGCCCAAGACATCCACCCAGCTGGTACACAGGAGAGGAGCTGGGCCATCCAAGGCTGATTTATTAGCAGTGAAGGTGATTGAATCTTGTCCAAATTTACCCTCAGATAAACTAATATGAACTCTAGTGGCTCTTCAGATGCAAACTCCATCCTCACTTGCCCTGGCCCCAGGCCTGATCAGTCTGTTGCTGACAGCGGCTGAGCCAGCACTACGCAGAGCTGCTCATCTCTGCAGGAGAGAGGGGAAACGATGCATCCAAACAGCATGAAATGTCCACCCACTTTGCACTACCAGAATATCACCCCATAACTGCTGTCAGGGGAAGGCTAAAATTGCATGGGAATATTGCTTTAATGCAGTCCTCACCCTCAAATCAATCTGCAACAAAGCACTGAACGATAAAGAGCTGAGAGCCCTGAACAGATCTCCTGGTTGCAGGATTGCTCCTGACACACCAAGTGCAGCAGAAATGCAAAATTTCAGAGCTAATTTTTGCCCCACGCTTCGTCTTTAGAGCCTTACCCTCTTCCACAGAGGAAAAGAGATAACCTAAATCCCTTTGCAGCTTTCACCAGTGAGACTAGTTAGCTTGAGCAGATTTCCAGCAGCTTGAGTAGTAAATAGGTTTTATAGGACACAGCTTTGCCTTGGGCTTGTGACTTCAACAAAGCCCATTTCTCCATCAGACACGGGAGTCTTATCCTTTGCTAGCTCTGGGAAATCTCGCAGCTAAAAAGCCAGCAGCTATTCTGGCTCCTTCATTTCTCCCTGTTCTCATTTAGAAATGAGTTGGCTGATGTCTCAGACATCAGGGGGAGTGGGAGTGGAAAAGCCGCCCTCCATCATAAAGCCTCTGATTTAGATCCAAACGATCGACTGCATGTACAGGATCGCCAGTATAAATGCAAAATGGCCAAACTGGTTGCTGAGAGGACATTTCCAGTGTCAGATTACAGCCATGGCACACGGCCTGGCTGAAGATCTGACACCAACCACCACCACCAGCCTGGATCTGGTCTCTTGCAAGTGTCTCCTTACACCCTGAGCTGACACGGTGGTGCTTGTGCTGTGTGGATGTGTAACGGCTCCTGCCCCACACAGGTTAATAGCACAAGCAAGACGGTGGAGAGGGGAAACAGCACTGAAATAACTTGCCACAGCAGGAGAAGCAGTGTCAGGCCCCTGAGATCCAGGACCAGGACAAGAAGGTCATCGTTCTGCATTAGGAGCCCAACTCTGGACCTCTTGTGTGGACTCCTTTGGCAGCCACAAAGGAGCCCTGCCAGGTACCTGTCAGTAGAGGGAGACATGGTCCTGCTGACAAGCCCAGTCTATTTTACACAGGTTTCCTGACAGCCTGAGGTGGGCACTTCTTAGGGGAGACTGGTGGGGCCATATTCCTAAGGAGGAACTCATCAGCCCCTCTTCAAACCAATGCGCTAAGCTGCCCCATCTTACCTTGTCAAGCTTTGCCTCTATCTCCACCACATCTGTCTCCACTTCATCGATGGTTGCCCTGCAATGAGCAAAGAGAAATAATTAATTGATTGCTTATGATGATTGGGAAAGAAGCCAGAAAGCCCCACATGAGTAAAGATCAGAGGCACTGTGGTATGTGTGCTGGTGGTGGACAGGAGGAGGGACTCACACTTCCTACTTTGCAGTTTCCTGCTGCTACATAAGCTCAGGACCTGCTGAGGAGAAGGATCATGCCTCATCAGGAATTAATTACACAGGGCTGGCCAAAGAGATGGAGATTATGCTGTGTTCTGTCAGCATCACGGAGAAATCCAGGTGCGCTGTGGGAGTCACACACAGCAAACTCATTTAGTGGCCTTGTTCTGACTCTGCAGGCAATGCTGTTAATTGGTAGCAATGTTAAGTAACATGGAAATAGCCATCGCTACACCTTAGCCTTCCATTCACATCAGGCACAAATTGCTTGCTGCAGTACCACCAAACCCCATTTTCTGCCTGAAGTGCAGCCACATGGCGAATGACGTCCTTTGCACCTTAGGAACCATCACTCAAGCAGAATCATACCTTGGTCCTTTTGTCACTGAACACTGTAAGTCTCTTTCACACATGTGGGGCTTTGCTTGCATACAGATAAATCTGCCCCATGATTATCGGATCTGTTTTCTTTCCACGTCACTGGACAGATGTGACAGTAAGAGGCTCATTGAATCCAGCTGCAGGGGTCACCAGGCCTCCCTCGCAAAGCGAAATATTAAGATGACATCAGCCGTTTGCAAGAGGCATTCCCAGACTCAGGCATGTGGTATGCAATGACATTTTTTGAGGCCAGAGCCCATCAGTAAGCACTGTAAACCTGAGAGCGTTCCCTTGCAGAGCTGTTCGCTCCTATGTGGTGTTTATACTTGGACAGTTGTTTCCTTAACCGCACACCTGGAAATGTGGTAAGCCACACGCCACCCTTATGCACCGAGGATATGCAATCCAAATTTCACTGCGAGGAGCTTCGTAAGTTTGTGGGCTCGTAATTTAAAAGGTTGGTTCCTGAAATATTACACGCAGGCTTTAAAAAAATCCAGCGCTGAACACGCGCCAGCTGAGAGAACAGCAGCGGAGAGATGTGACTTAGGGCCACACGAATAAATACTGCTGTCTCAGCAAAAGGAGAGGACACCCACAAACCAAAGGGAGCAGCAAAAGTCCTGAAGAAACCATTAGAGTATGTGGTAACTCTGTGCCTCTGAGGCTCCTGGTGTCTTCAGTGAATTAGTGAACGATGAAGACAGCAACTGTCTTTACTAAGGGACACACTTCTAAGAAAAGGAAGGATAAAATGAAGAAGAAAGCCCAAAAAGTGCCAAACCTGGGGTCTAAATCTAAATTTCTGCCAAACTGAGGAAGGGTCCAGACCAAAGGCATGGTACTTGTATGTCCCTTACCGAGATTACACGTAACCCAAGTAGCACACACACTCAGTAATGCCTATTTTAAGCATTCTTCAATGGGAAATATGGATAATACCTTACACAGGTGTGTGCAGTCCCCATCTGTAAGCTACGAGACAGCCAACATTGGCTACGGTCCTGTGTAATCCAGGGGGAGCACAGAGGACAGAGTCAGTCCTTGCACAGGATTGGAGGAGAACAGAAGACCAAATGTTGCCAGGTCTGTCCCTACCATCCAGATCTTCAGCAGCTTCAGACAAACCTGCAGGACAGAGCAGCTTTTCTACCCATGAGCATCCTCCAAAGGCTCATGTGGGCTGGGAGCACCCCGCTGACTGGGACATCCGGGGTGGCACGCTCCTTGATTAAGGACAACAAAGGCCAAGTCATACAACTGCTCTTTAATTAATGAGTGAAGGCCAAGTGATGTCACATGACCGCTCTTTGATTAATGACAACAAAGGCCAAGCGATGTCATATGACCGTGGGAACTCCCCTCCCTGCACACCAGGCCTGGCCTTTCCACACATCTGTACTTCACCAAGGTGCCACGCAACTGATAAGAAGGTGGAGCAGAGCAAAGCCCCTTTGCTCAGGAAACACTGAGCAGTAACAAAGTCCCTTTGCAAAAGGAGCCCCAAGGTTTCTGGGTAGGGATTTTCTCTTCTCAGGACTGCACAGGACTTAGCTCAGCAGTGCCCTATGCATCCTGGGGTCTCTGTGAAATCATCAATATAAAAAAGGCTAAGCCTTTCTTTGCATGTGGCTTGTGAGAGGAAGGTCCTTTCTGCCACCTCAAGATGTTTTTACTGACATTCACACAGGTATTAGCTGACCAGGAGCACTGGATGTCTCAGTCATTTGACATATCCTGCTAGCAGTGGCACTAAACCCTCAAAAACCATTTGCAAGACATTTTGAATTGCCTGGAGGTGCTCACTAGGAGTTCCCAGTCACACAACCGGTCCGTATTGCTCTTTGGGAGCCAGGGCTAAACAGCCCATAACTGCCTCAGGGGAGTCAAAGCCAGCCCTGACTCTGAGTGGCCTCGAAGAGTGTGGGTCTAATAAGTGTCCTGTTGAATCTAAATTGGCTGCATATTCAAGAACTGTGACACAGTGGCTGTAACTTTCCTTCAGAGACTACTGTCCTCCCCTTCCACTGCTCTCTTGTTCTCAGATGATGTGACTCACAAGCCCATTAATGTCTCTTTCCATTAAAAATTCCTCCTAGCCTGTGGTTTGACCACGCTGCTCCCAGCCAGGGAGGGCCAAAGGGGGATGCTGGCCATTTACAGGCCCCTTGTGACTCCACCGCTGCCCTCTCCTCATCTGGTTTCTTTTAACAAGTGAGTCTGAAGGAGAAAAAGGGGTAGATTTGCTGTTCCTCAATGAGCTGCGATGATCTTCAGCTCTGCAAGAAGCATCGAAACCCTGCCAGTGCTGTGAGAGGAAAGAATGTGTCTCTGCTCCCTTCATCCCAGAGCCCTTGATGTCATCTCAGCTAACAATACTCCCTACATCTTAACATAAGCCGAACGTCCAATCCAGCGGAAACAGGCTCGCTTATTAATCACCATTATATAGCATAGAAGACAGCCTGGAATCTGCTTTCATTCAAAAATACCGGATGCAAGAAAATACAGCTACTGCCTGCGATTGGCTCCTCTCCTTCCTGCCATGCAAGGAGAAATACGGACTTACAAAACGTTTGCTATCTGCTGAGCTCTTTAAATGGAGCATTTCTGCAACACCTTCCCTCGCCCCACACATGGCTTCTCTCTTCCTAGGCCCTTGACGACCGGACAGCCCTTTCCCTGCCATGAAATGTAAAAGATGGCGAGGCCAGGACTTCAGACTTTTATTGCACTTCAGGTTTTTTTGAAGAACAAGCTCTGTCTTGGGATGACACTGTAATGCCAGCCTTTGCTTGCTACAAATACCTCTCTGTGCCACCACAGGCACTCGGAAAAGAAGGAAACGCAATTAAGGACATTGCAGAAAATTACTGGCCCAAAGAAGATTTAAAGAAACTGATCTTATTGTGAAGCCTTTTTGGCAGTTTAGAAAAGGTTATTTTAGTAGGTGGACTTAACAGTGGTTTTTGAATTGACTTGCAAATTACATTTGATCGGTTATTAGTGTTTAGGAATTTCTTTACTTTTTGGTCCTGCTGCAGTGCTCCTTTAAACAACGTCTCAGCCAGCAGGGAGGCTTCATACAATTGCTATTGACTTAAGTCCAGAGAAAGACACATAACCAAATATCTGCTCCCTAATTAGAGAAAACTCAGATGGCAGCGTGGCCATCTTCAGCACAAACATCACCCTCAACGGTATTTCAGAGCTTTGCAATATTCTCAGTGCTCCTCATAAGCTTCAGAAGCATCACCCTGCAAGTGCTGGAGCAAGATGTAAAGTCTTGGACACCGCAGAAGGGAATAGGTGGCTTCTGTCAGTGTCCTGAAACACAGCTTCACTGGCTTTCTGAGGTGTCAGCACAGATAAAGGACTTGGCCTTTCTGGAGCAGCACCACGAGGATTTCAATCCTCTGTCCCATAGCAACAAGAGCCCAGGAACTTCCTCCTGAAAAAATAACTGCTGGGTAGTCCTCTCCTTGCTTTTCTCCGATGTTTCTTCCTTGTGCAGCTCTGTGGGAGCAGCCTCTAGAATGTAAGCAGAGATCTAAACTCATCAGCCGGACTGCAAATGAAATCCTGGTGACTCAGTAGGAAAGTGCAGCCTCCCTCGTGCCCAGGGCTCTGGCCACGATCGATCTGCTACCAGCTCTTTGAAAGCCTAGCCAAAAAAAAGGAGCTTCTTTCTCTCTACTAATGCGGTGCTCAAGCTTTACTGCAACACATATGGCTGCCCTATACGAACGGCAGCCTGGCTGTGCCGGGGGCAAAGCTTTTGAAAGAAATGGAATAATTAAAGAGCTTCTTTCAGGCAATTTTTTCTTCCTCTTGCAGCTATTTTTGTTCTCTGGGTTTTGAAGTCGTGTGCCTTCATGCATCGCGCTCTTCCTGCCAGATTCAATTTTTCCACTTGGTTTCTTTGTGCTCCTGATAGCTGGACATAATAACCAGCCGAAAAAAAAAGAGAGCTGGGATTTCTGGGGTTGCTTTTCTTTTCAGGAAAGCAAGAGCAGCCATTGTTTAATCTGCAGACATCAGCTAGAGGCGAGTGCAGCAAGGCGGTCTAGCAGCATATTTCCTGCCAGAAGGTGGAGAGAGCATCTATAATTTACTCCCCATTTTTATCCTACCCTAAGAAAAGGAGTTGATATATTTGGACTCTGTGTGGAGGAAGAAGACATTTTGGGTCTGGTATCCACCAAGGTATGAATACAACTGACTGTGGCCAGGAGAGTGTGGAACCTGAGCTTTATATTTGGTGTACAGACTTGATATAAAAGGCTCCAAGTGTTCGATTTCAAGGACAGTGATCTCAGGGACCTATTCAGTTCCAGGGCTGTAATGGACTTCCAGCTTCATTACAGGAAGCAAGGGTGAATATTTATCCATCTTTTCCAGTTACATGGTGCTTTTATATCTGAATGAAGTCCTTGGGGAGATGACTTATGAGGCTG